TGAAAAAAATATGAAATTTATTAACAACACTGCATAAAACACTTCAATAAAGCAACTTTATCTATAAACAAAGACAAACAACCGAAGTAAATCACAAATTTTGTAAAGATTATGTGCAATCATAGTTTCAGACTAAATTTCTAACATTAATACGGCGTTAAATGGTTTGATTTTTACAACAAAAAACATCAATGTTTCTTAACTGTAATTTGTAAAAAAAAAAAACATAATTTCAAAATGCACGCAATGTGTAGAGAGCGTAATGCAGAATTAATATGAAATAAATTAAATTAATTTAAAAGTTTAACAAATAAAAACCATTAAATATTAAAATATGTATTTAATATTTTATGGATAAACATTAATTTCATTAAAAATTTGTTAAATTCCTATTTTTTAGTTTTTTTCTAAAATTGCATAAAAATTATTTACTCTGCTACACAACACACAGTATGTTAAAGCCTTAAGGTATGCTTTGTTTTATATTGTAGCAATAAGAGTTGCCACTATGTGTAATGTTTTAATATTAAACGTTATATTTTGAAAATAGTTAAAAAATACAAATGGAGAAAAGAGTAGAAGGAAAATAAGTATAAAGGAAGTTTTTTGTAATTGTTATACATTTGTACTGTTGTATACGATTATATGAAAATTTTACACAATTTGTAACTGTTATACAGTAATAAATTTTGTAAATATTATAAATTTTACAACTTCTATATTTGTATAACTGCTATACAGTATTACTGTTCTATGTTTATAACTGTTATACAGCTTATAAATGTTATATAGTGTTAACTGTTATACAGTATAGAACTCTTATACAGTTTTAACTGTTAAACAGTTCTTAATTGTTATAACATAACTGTATATAGTTAATAGCTCTTATATAGTTTATAACCTTATACAGTTTATAGTTGTTATACAATTAATACTGTTATACAGTTTTTAACTGTGTAGCAGTTATAGCTTTATACAGTTTATAACTGTTTATACAGTTCATAAGTGTTATACAATTTATAACTGTTATACAGTTTATAACTGTTATACAGTTTTATAACTGTCATACAGTATATAACTGTTATACAGTTTATAACTGTTATACAGTTTATAGCTGTTATACAGTTTATAACTGTTATACAGTTTATAACTGTTCTACAGATTACAACTGTTATACAGATTATAACTGTTATACAGTTTATAACTATTATACAGTTTATAACTGTTATACAGTTTATAACTATTATACAGTTTTTAACTGTTATACAGTTTTTAACTGTTATACATTTTATAACTGTTATACAGTTTATTATGGTTATACAGTTTATAAAATTATACAATTTATAACTGTTATACAATTGAAACTGTTATACAGTTTACAATTTGTGTACAGTTTTAACAGTTGCATAGTTTCATAACTCTTACACAGTTTACAACTGGTTTACATTTTGTAAATGTTATACAATGTATAACATTTGAAACTAATACAAAGTTTAGAACTGCTGTATTATGTATAACTGTTATACTTCTTATAGCTGTTATACAGATTATAACAGTTACACAGATAATAACTGCTATACAGTTTAAACTGTTGTACTGTTCATAACCGTTATACCGCTTTAGAACTATTAAACAGAAGGTAGCTGTCATACTTTTTATTCATTCAAGTGTCATATTAATTAAAACTCTTTTCGCCGTAATATTACTTACACTTAAATTAAGTTATAACTAATTTAAATATTATTCACATCTAAGGTGTGTTAGATGTATAATAATAAAAAAACTCAGGATAAATAAAATAAAACCACTTGTTACACAGTACACCACCAGGGACAAATGACATGCATTCATGCTGATATTTGTAACACTCAATATTATGGTCGTACACTCATCTGAGTCAATAAGTAAATCTTGAAGAATAGAAAATTTTCATATTTTTAAAGAAATCTTTCGATACTGAACAATTTCAATTAACACAATTTTTTAATATTTTCATGTTAAACATTGTTGTTGATAGAGTTGACAGGCCTTGGCCGAATAAGTCGGCTCATTTCGGTACGTAGAACGGACAGTCAGGGTAATGCCATATTAAACATATTTATAGATGATGTAGGGTATCATATAGTCGGACTAATCAAATTATAATTTGTTTACTTATAAAATTCTTGCTCTCATAACATTGCGTGTCAATTCAAAATTACATGCGTTACCGATTAAATAACAAAGACAATAAACTAATGTGTAGCTTTAAATATTACATAAATATTTGAAGTAAAAATGAACTAGCAATTTTCCTAAATAGATTACAAATCTATAATAAAAAAATTCTGAAAAAAAATCTAAAAATATTATAGAAAGGTCAGAAAGAGTTAAAACTGTTGTGAGTTTTTCTCTATTTTCCACCTTAGAATCCTTTACCATTCTTATGCTAGTGCTGCCAAAATAAAATCTATCTAAAATAAATCTGGCATCCTCTATTATATGTAAATATCACACTCTCGCATTTCCTTCCTTTGTGAACCAAAATATAACCAACTACAAGTGAAAAATATACTATTTTAAATATCATTGTTATTGTTTTGTTGTTATCGTTATTTCTATATAAATATTATTACTGTCATTTATATTGTATCATGTCTCTATGAATGAATCTCTCACTCTCTCTGTTTCTCTTCCTGTTACCCCTACTAACCTCAAAACAAGCAAAATATTTAGATAACAATAATGACATGCCATTACATTACCAAATACGAGGTTTGTTTACAAAATCAAAAGCAAAAATAAACTAGATTTTATCCTTATAAACTTTATAAAATCAGTTTCCCATGCAAACAACCTTCGTATATTATTTTTTAAGTGACTGTGTCTTGCTCATTATTTATTTATATTCAAACTATAGAGATGGTAGATTTCAGTTGTAGTAACCTGCATGTTTAGGGGGTAAAATGTAATGTAGAGTGTAAATATATAATTTCTTTTTTGTAATTCATATTTGATTGCCTTTTATTATTGTTGTAGTTGCAGAAAACATGAAATTGAAGTTTAATGAACTTTATAGTTTGATTTTGAAAAGTAGTTTAGTTTCAATAGAAAAAAATCATATTAAATTGTTTTAAATGGTGGAAAGATAATAATTACATACATATTACTGTGAGAAAAGATAAACGCTATTATTAAATTACATAAATAATGATATTTTTCAATATTGAAACAAATTTTATACACAATTTTCAATATTAAATAAATTTTTCTAGAAAATTTTCAATATTGAATATTTTTATTGAAAATTTACAATATTGAATATTTTTTATAGAAAATTTTCAATATTTAATAATTTTATATAGAAAATTTCAAATATTGAAAATTTTTTTATATAAAATTTTCAATATTGAATAATTTTTTATAGAAAATTTTCAATATTGAATATTTTTTTATAGAAAATTTTCAAAATTGAATATTTCTTTATAGAAAATTTTCAATATTGAATATTTCTTTATAGAAAATTTTCAATATTGAATATTTCTTTATAGAAAATTTTCAATATTGAATATTTTTTTATAGAAAATTTTCAATATTGAATAATTTTTATAGAAAATTTTCAATATTGAATAATTTTTTATAGAAAATTTTCAATATTGAATATTTTTTTATAGAAAATTTGCAATATTGAATATTTTTTTATAGAAAATTTTCAATATTGAATATTTTTTTATAGAAAATTTTCAATATTGAATATTTTTTTATAGAAAATTTTTAATATTGAATATTTTTTATAGAAATTTTTTAATATTGAATATTTTTTATAGAAAATTTTTAATATTGAATAATTTTTTTATAGAAAACTCTCAATATTGAATAATTTTTTATAAAAAATTTTCAATATTGAATATTTTTTATAGAAAATGTTTAATATTGAAAATTTTCTATAAACATTTTTAATATTTAAAATTTTCTATAAACATTTTAATATTTAAAATTTTCTATAAACATTTTTAATATTTAAAATTGTCTATAAAAAATTGTTCAATATTGATAATTTTATATAGAAAATTTTCAATTTTGATAAATTTTTATAGAAAGTTTTCAATTTTAATAAATGTTTATAGAAAATTTTCAAATTTCGTAAATTTTTATGGAAATATAAATATTGAATAATTTTTTATAGAACATTTTCAATATTGAATAATTTTTTATAGAAAATTTTCAATATTGAATCATTTTTTATAGATAATTTTCAATATTAAATAATTTTTTATAAACAATTTTCAATATTGAACAACTTTTTATAAAACATTTTCAATATTGAACAATTTTTTATACAAAATTTTCAATATTGAACAATTTTTTATAGAAATTTTTTAATATTAAAATATTTTTTATAGAAAATTTTGAATATTGAATAATTTTTTTTAGAAAAGTTTTAGTATTGAATAATTTTTTATAGAAAAGTATAAATATTGAATAATTTTTTTATAAAAAATTTTCAATATTCAATAATTTTTTAAGAAAATTTTCAATATTGAACAATTTTTTAAGAAAAATTTTCATATAAAATTTTCAATATTGAATTTTTTTTTTAAATTTACAATTTTGAACTATTTTTATAGAAAATTATCAATTATAGAAATATTCCATATTGAATTAATTTTTTAGAAAATTTTCAATATTGAGAAATTTTTTAGAAAATTAATGAAAAATATATTGAAATCTAACTTTCGCATACATATTTATGACTATTTTGAAAATGGCCTCCATACATTTAGAAATCAACAGTTCAAAAACCTTTAAAAGAAAACTTAATAAGGGCATTATGCCCGCAATAATTACAAAAAATAATAATTTAAGATAAGGTAATATGATAATGAAAAACTATATAATAAAAACAACTGATGTCAATGCCAAATGATTAGATACAATTCTAAATTTTAAACGATAAGATACTTTTAAATATTTCTAACAAAATATAACAAAAAGGCCCTTTAATTAAATTTTCATATTGTTGTTCTTTTCTTGTAGATTTTCCAAAAAACACATTCCAATAAACCTGACACCAAAATTTACCACCGATATGGTCAACATGTATTCAAAGGTGTTTTGAAATGAATACCAAACGCTAAATTAAGAACATGGAATGTCCACAAATTTCCAGGCGAACAAGTTAATCAACGAAAGAGATAATGAAATAATAAGTGAACAATTAAAGCAGCTTAAGAGGAAAGAGAAACGAAGACATTGAATAATATTTGTGTAAAAATAATAACCAACAAACAATTTTGTTACTAACAGTAGGAAAAGATTTGAAAATTTTAAATTAAGGCGGGAAATTTGAAAAGTTTAATGTTAGAAAGAAACGAGCTATAATTTTCATTTGGATTTAAAGTTTTTTTTTAACAAAATGTTGCTGTTTAAAACAAGAGTCAAGGCCCTTAGCTCGGGCTGGTGGTTAGCCATTTTAATTATATGCTTTTCGATAAACAACAATCAAGCAGCAGTAATAAAAAAACGTGACAACACTGCTGTAAACGAATCTGGCAACTTTGTTTTAGACACTGCAGCACAACCCACCATTTTAACGGCTTTAAATAATGCAAGTGAAGTTGTCAGCACAACTAAACTGCAATCGGTGGAGGGCATGAATTTTGCTTCCAAAGAAACCTCCAAGGAATTAACCAACAATGAAATTTTAATAAATGAAGCCAAAAAACTCTTAGAGGAGGAAGATAAAATTATTAATTTAAATAAAAAAGAAGAAGTGGAAGAAGAAGAAAAAACTGAAGGAAATGTTAAGGATTTAGAAGAACAAAATGTTTTATTGAAAAATAATACTGGAACACAAAATAATCTGCAAGATATTAAAGAAATTATAAAGCAATTGGAAACTAAAGAACAAAATTTGGAAGAGGCCACCAAAACCTCCACAGAATTTACCAGTAATGATATTAAAATAGATAAAATACCCCAGTTAAAGGAGCAAACTTTGGTGCAAGAGGAAGGTGCTAAGGATGAAGGGGAATCGGAAGCTAAATCCTATGAAAATAGTTTAAAATTTGAACATGAAAAGCCTCAGCCTCCCAGCAGAATCTTAACAGAGTTGAGAACTGAAACAACCACTAAAAAGTCCAAAGTTTTGGAATCCCATGGGGAAAATAGTATAGAAAATAGCAAGGAATTAAATAAAAATGTTTTAGTAGAGGAATTTAAGGAAAAATCTGCTGCAATAAATAACAACCATAATGAGTCACAGGTTAAAGTTAAATTAATTCCCTTGGAAACCTCCACCGAGGAAAATGTGAAGGAAATTGCAAAATCTAATAGTTTAGATAATAGCAAACACCAGGAGGACAGCAAAAGCATAGGACCCGTAGAGACAACAACTGTTAAAATGGTGACAGAAACTTCCACTTCAGTAGCTGAGGTTACGGAAAGTTTGGAGGTTTTAGAAATGACCACTTTAAGTCCTTTTATGGGCGAAGAGAACACAAAAGAACAGCTAACAAATAATATACAAGATGGCTTAGATCGGGAAGTGTTAATTAAAGCAAATGAACTGCCGCAAACCACCCCGGAAACCAGCACTTTAGAGACATTGAAAAATGAATCAGATTTATTAATATTTGAGGGTAATAAAAAGGAATATGCTAGATCTATGTTTAATAAAGAGGAAGAAGAAACTACTACCTTCAATTCACAAGAAAATAAAGAAGATATTCTAGCTATAACCACCTTTAGGCCCGCGATAAATCTCAATAAAGAGCAAGAAGTAGTTCAAGGTAATGTAAAACAGCAAATAGAGGATGTGTCCGTAAATCTTAAAGGAAAGACAGGCAAATTTATAAATGACAATTCCACAAATGCCCAACAGTTAAATTTACCCAACAATGCTGAGGTATGGTCTTTGGCAGCCATGAAATCCCTACCCAAAGCCGAAGTTACCTTGGAAACAGCGCCGGCGCATAATCACAGCCAGGAGTTCAAGGAAAATCTGCTACAGCTACACAATTCCTCATTAACAATGAGTAGTAATAGTGAAAAGAATTTACTAGATTGGTCACAAATAATGATGGATAAGGAATTGTCCACAACAACCAGGAATGAGGAAAAGGAAATGGAAAAAGAAAGAGAAGAAAATCATTTAGATACAAATGAAAGGATAAAGCAAAGTATTACAACAACCTCTAAACCTTTTGAAGAAACAACAACTGAGTTAAGACTACAGGTTAGAGAAGAAGAGGTTACCCTGGCACCAGAAACAATCTCAGTTACTACTTTAGAAACAATCTTATCTCTGGCGAATGATAAAAACAACAATGAAACTGATAAAAGCCCTGAGATAGATAAGAAAATTGAAGAAAATATGAATAATCATTTGGAAATGGTAACGGAAACTCTAGACGTGGCCACAACATCAAAAACAACAACTAATAATAATGCTGCATTAGTGGACAACCACCCCTTGAATGCAACGCTGAACATTGAACCAAATTTAAATGAAATAAACTTGACTTTAAAACAAAAGCAAAAAGACTTAAATAATAATAATAATAATGATGATGATAATGATGATAGTACGATAGCAGCTGGAAATATAAAAAACTTAGACCTGGAGACGACGACAGCCGAGACGTTGGCGTCAACGACTGAAGCAACAGCTGTTGTTGCTGATATCACCACAACAGTTGAGCAAATTTCCAGTGAGACAACAACAGTTAGTACGCTAGAGACTAGCAAACAAAACGCATCGTTAAATAACGACGCCATTCAACAAATCCCAGAAACAACAACAACAAATAATAATAATTATAATAACGTAAATTTAAATGAAACTAATTTTTCCACACAAACAACAACAGTGACGGTGTCAACCGCTTTACACGAGGAATTTGAAAATAACGAGAATATTACAGCTAAAAATCAATATATAAATATTGAAACAACAACAACAACAACCGTTTTACCTATTACCACATTTAGGCCAAATATTTTGGCAATAACCTCCTCTACTACTACCTCTACGAAAGCCCCTAATTTTGAACAGGAAGTTGACCAAAATGGCAACGAAATTCAAACAAATTTAACGACTAACAACGAGCCGCCGCAACAAAAACAATCAATAACAACAACAAAAGTTGAATTAGACGACAATAATTCTACGAAAACAATTGAAACGCATTTAGCGGAAAGCAGAGAATTTGAAACGACCACCATATTAGCAGCTAAATCAACAGAAACAGAAAATACTCTAACGTCTTCAATAGAAACAACTACGTCATCCTCTAAAGACGTAAACAATCTAGAGACAACAACCCCTAAACTAGAGGATGAAACCACAATTGGGTCATCAGCACCTGTCGCCACAAACGAAGAATTAGAGAGAAAGGAAATTGAAACTGAAACAGCAACAACAATAACAACAGATACAACAACAACTACTACTACAGAAACCAACAAAACACCTGTTGTTGTTATTGAAACAAAGCCGAATGAAAACTTGGCATCCACTACAACAACAACAGCAACTACAACTAGTAGCACAGAAGAAAACGTAATTGCAACGACAACTGCAAAGCAGGAAAGCAACATAAAGGAAGTTTTAACTTCTCAAGAAAAAGATGCAAATATAGATACAACAACAAACAGCAGCAACATGACAACAACAACTAGCACAATAATGTCAGTAACAGCGGCCAAAGATGAAGAGACCTTTATAAGTTTATTAGATGATACAACAACACAAACTTACTCTCCCACCACAATCTCAACAACAACAACGACGACAACGTCTCCGACACCAACACCACTAGCATCTTCAACAACCACAACGACGACGACAACCTCAACATTGCCTTCGGCTATAACAACGAAAGTGGAAGAGATTTACAATGTGATACACAGTACCACCACTGAGTTAATACAAACAACAACACAACAATTATTAACGGAAACTGAAGAAGAAGAATCATCAACATCATCATCCTCCTCCACCACCACATATCCCTCCTCCAGCACCTCGTATATCACAGAAATGATACCCGATACCACCACACCCTCTACAAAAATTATAGAAACCGCTGATATTGGCAAATCCCTACCCACACTCACTTCCATTATGGGTGGCAATAGTGGTAATATGTATCCCAAAAATTCGGAAGCTTCCGGTGAAACTGATGTTAATGTCATCATTGCCATAACAGTAAGTGTTATAGGTGTTATTGCGCTCATTTTGCTGGTGGGCTTCCTTTATCTCATGCGTAAACGTCAAAAGCAAAATTCCTATCCCAATCGTTGTCGTCCGGTTAGCATGGATGAATTTACCATAGACAACGCCTCGGTGGGTGGTAGTATGCGTAAGAGTAGTGCTTTACGTTCCTCCAAACGTACTTATGGCAATTTAGCATTCGATGATCCCTCGCTGCGTCATAATCCCATGGGTGTACATGAATTGGCGAAATTTGCTCAGGAGAAATTGCGTATATTTGAGGAATTCCGTGATGTACCACAAATAACTTCGAGATTGGATGAAGTACCGCCAGGCTGTGAGGATAAGAATAGGTAAGTTTGGAAAAATTATTTAGATTTTGAAACTCTCTTAATTTTAAAATTTTTCACAAAATTTTCTCTGAAATTTTGTAAGTGAATTATATTTGAACAAGTGTTTCCAAAGAAATCAATTACTTCAAGTGAACTGAACTTTCGGAACATTCCAAAGAACATGTTCAGTTTTCACTTACAATACAGGAGTTGAATAACATTGAAATTGTGATGAAAACAAAAGATTTCTGGGAATTTCTTTAACTGATTCGTTTAAAAAAAAGAACAGTTGTTTTATTAAAAAAATGGAATTAATATGAAAAGTTCGTCATATTTTTATTAATTAAATATAGAATATCATTGAATAACCTCAAAAGGAATATTAAGAAGTTCTGAGATTCTTATAAAATCCGATCGGAAGTATTATATTGCACAATTTCTTTTGATCCGAAACGTTTAAGATTTAAATTGGTTACTGCCGATGAAATAAAAATCGAAAATTTAGAAAAACTCATTGGAACATCAATCCATTGAAACTTCAAACGAAGCTTTATAATAAGTTTATCATAATCACGAAATGTTTATTTCAAAAAGAGAGAACAATTTGATCCACGCTGCAAAATCCAATTAAAGAGACCTTGGAACAATAACTCCAACTCCTGTTCTAGACAGAACTTCTCTCCATTACCACCAGAAGAACTATAAATCCCCTTAGATTGTTCAACTTTGAAAAGAATCAAAGTATTAGATTTTGAAACATTGAACTTTATTACCTGATCGCAATGCTCCTAATTCTCTGCTCTTATTAAGGTCCCAAAGACAATGGATTATTGACTCTAGAAATATTCACGAACGTTCCTTTAACAGCAATTCGGAATGATAAATGTCCCAGAATCAACCGCTGTTTTCTACACTTCCTTTCTCGAAGGTTTCCTCAAGAAAATATTTAGACGTTCTCGAAAGAAAAGAATTGTCAAATAGTTTACCGTTTTCCATGCTTTATTCATCGCTTTTCAGCTTTGAAAAGAATCCAAGTATTAGATTTCGAAACATTGAACTTTATCACCTGATCTCAAGGCTCCTAATAAGGTCTCAATGACAATGGATTTTTGACTCTAGAAATATTCATGAACATCCCTCTAACAACAATTGGGAATGATAAATATCCCAGAATCAACCCCTGTTTTTCTACACTTTCTACAGCGAATTTTCCCGAAGGTTGTCGAAAGAAAATATTTAGACGTTCTCAAAAGAACAAAATTATATAAAACTTTCTTAAACATTTATGAAATTTTGAAAATGGCTTCTTTTGATTTGTGCCATCATCTCTCGACAAAACATTCGAGAATGAATTTACTCTATTGAATATTTTCGCGTACATTATTAAAAAAAAAAAACCAGTTTAACTCTTTTAAACCTTTCGCCAACATTCCTCGAAAAAAATATACGAAATCTACATTTATATTCTTTAGATTTGGCGCGATCATTTCGTGACAAAACATTCGAGAATCAAAAAATCTTCTATTTTAACTCTATCCGAAGCTTAAAAATACACCCTCTTTTTAGAGCGATTCTTTCCCAAAAGTTTCTCTAAGAAATTATTAAAAGATTTAGTCGTTTTCGAATCGAAAAGAGTGAATCATCGGTCATTTGATATAAAAAATTTTAAAATTAAATATTTTTAATCACTCTAAACATTTTCATATTTTACTTATGCCCTAATAAATTATTAAAACAAATTCAAATAAAATTCTTTCTCACAAAATTTTGCGATTACTAATCTTTTCATCTCTCTTTCACTTTTCATCTACAGATATGCGAATGTATTGCCGCTTCCTGAAACGCGTGTCATATTGCAGCGTCTTAACGATGATGAAAAAACGGAATATATCAACGCCAATTATGTCACAGTAAGTTTAATAATATTTTATAATTTAAGAAAGAAAGAAATTACTAAACACCCCCTCAAAATTTAAACAAATTAAATAAAAAACAAATGCGGTTAAAGTAAAACTTAAATTTCTTCAATGTACTAGTTTATGCTTTCTGAATCTGGGAAAGAAAGACAAAAGCGTAATTACTCGGATCATGTAATCAAATAACATTAATCATGATTAAACATGGTGAATGATGATCATGATCATCATGATAGTAGAGAGGAGCCTTATTTAAATACACTAAAATGATAGAAGATAATAAAAGTAATAAAGAAAAACAAAACAAATAAAGTAAACACAAAATGTAAACAAACTTGATGGTGTAGTGTACATGGCTAAGTTATGGTTTGTGCGTTTGGCTTTTGCTACAAATATGCATTCGTTCATATTGTTGTGTTCAAACTTAACCTTTTTAATTCATTTTAATAAATAGTATTTTTTTTGCTTTCTTACATATTTTTTCTATTTTTATTGTTGTAATAATAAATTTGTGGTTAAAGTGCGAGTCTAGATTTAGAAATATAAATTATATGCATAAAGCGTATGTGTGCAATATTTAAGTGTATATGAGTGTGTAATTATCAAGAGCAACTAGCAACTTTCAAATATTTATTTTTACACAATAACAATTTCATTTTGAATACTATAAATAAAAACAATAAACACTTTAATAGTGTTTATTTTGTATGTCTGTCCGTTTGTATTTCTTTCTTTCTGTCTGTCTAACTAACTTGGTGTTTTTGTCTCTATTTTATAAACCAGATAAGAATTATTTTTTAAATTGAAAATCGAACTGAGACGAGCAATTTTTCTCTTTTCTCTTTTGTTTGTTTTATTATTTATTATGAATCATTTAGTAAAATTGTCTGTCAGTTGTCGTCAGGTTTTTATTTGTTTGTATTTATGCAGCTCTCATTGTCATTTGACTCTAATAACGTTGGAGTAAAAACTTTTTTTGGTTTCAATGTTCTGAGATGATTTGTTTGTTTTTGTTTTGTTTAAAATATTTAATTCATTTAATGGGTGCAGTAACTTTTATTTTCGTTTTTTTGTATGATTCTCATTTTGATTTGATATTGTTAATATTTATAAAGGATTATGTACAATATCTTATTTATACGAGGTCACTCTTAGATTGAAAATAAATCAGTAATTTTGAAATATTTAAACAAATTTAATAAGACTTTTCATATCTCTAGAATAATTATAACAAAGTTGATGGAATTTTTCGCGAATATTCCTTGAAAAAAATAATCTATAGTCTAGAGTCAATCGTACCTTAGATTTGTGAAAATATTCAAAAAGTTTATGAGAAAATTTTGTAATTTCCATCATTAATATCAAACAAATCTACGATTTCTTCAACTCTATTGAATTTTTCGCGAATATTTCCCAAAAAACATTAAAAGTATTTTTTATGTCAAAAACTTTTGAAAAACATTTTGCAATTCCCATCATTAGTATTATAAAATATTAAATTTTTACTCTTTTGATATGTTCGCGAACATTCCCCAAAAATATATTCAAAAAAATATTGAGTAGTGTATTCCACATTTGGTAGTATGTTATTTTAAAATAAAGAACTCGGTTTTGCTTATATTTTGCATTCGAGTGAAATTAACTTTAGTTTAAATTTAAGAAGTATAATTATATTTCTATCGGAATATTCGAGAACCTTTCATAAACAGCAACTGTAAACGTTAGCTATTCTCGAACCGTAGATTAAAAATTCACTCGCGAATTGAAGAAACCTCATAGCAATTCACTTATTTTATAAAAATCTTTCAATTTAAACAGTTAATATTAAAAATTCTTCGATTTTAACTCCATTGAACTTTTTCACGAACGATACTCGGCAAAGAGTTCGATCTCTATAGTTTTATTTTTTTTTTAAATTCAATTTTGATTCTATTGGAAAATTCGCTAAAATTCCTTAAACTGCCTTTGAGAATGATAAATGTCCCGGAATCGAAGCCTGATAAATCACTTCTCTTCTTTCACTTACTATAGCGTTTCTCTCTCCAAAATTTCTTCATGAAATCTTTAACTAGTTTAAACGTTCCGAAGCATAAAGTTTTTTATTTTGAAACAACCCTCGTATTTTGATATAACACAAATTAAGTTTTTTTATGAAAACACATAATAAATTTATAAAAAACAGGTATTTTTATATTGTTTATTAATCATCAAATATATATTATTAATTATTTTAACCATATAAAGATTAAAAGAATAAAATTTACGCAATTGAAACCCACTTCTATTAAAACTTAACATGAAGATTACTTCATCTAACAAAAAAAGAATAAAATCAAATACCATTTTTTATTTTCTACAGGGTCCCAAAGATTCTCCCAACTATTACATAGCCTGCCAAGCACCCCTAGAATCTACCGTTGAAGATTTCTGGCGCATGATTTGGGAACAACAGTCACGTGTTATCATCCAAGCCACCGATCTTATAGAAAATGGTGTTGAGAAATGTGCTGAATATCTACCGCCCTCGGTGACGCTGGATAATCACTCCAGCTTTGGTGACTTCCAAATAACATTACAAAATCGTGAGGTTAAAGATAAATATGCCATTTCGACAATACTGCTGAAAAATGTTAATGAAAATGCCAGTCGAGAGTTGACGCATTATTGGTATAAATGGCCCGAAGTGGGCGTGCCGGCAGAAGAAGCTCCCATTATTGCTATGCTTTTGGAAGCGAGATCATCTCTTATTAGTTATGCCATTGAACAGGCCAATGAGGATAAGGAGAAATCCTCTATGGCTACCCTCAAATCAGCTGAAGAGGGCACGGTATCCAATAATGGTTCAACTATGTCTCCCAATTCGAATGGCAGCAGTGCTAATGGTAGTACGGGTGAAATTAATGGTAATATATCGATGGTGCCTATTAAAAAGACTGCTAGAAATCAGGGGTAAGTCGAAAAATTATTACAAATATTTAATACCATATAAATTTTAATTTATGAGAATACTTTTTAATGGAAAAGCAGAGTTTCACTAAATTAAACAATATTGATTCTATTTCCGAACATTTATATGAAGAACTTTTAACAACAAAATTTACCAACTAGTCTAGTCTATAGTTTAGTCTAAAGACTAGTCTATAGTTCAGTATATAGTCTAGCCAGCCTATAGCGAGAATAGAAGATAAATTTGAAAGTTTCTAGCGGTTTTTGTAACATGATCTGAAGGATAATAATGAAAAATTGGCAGCACTGTGCTATTGGTAATACTTGTCATTCTCTGGCATCACTAAAATTAACGGTATTTTCGTTTTTATTTCTTTAATAACAGTGATGCCAATTAGCGTTTATATAAGATGAAATACTCTGAAATACATAATGAAATAATAGAAAAATTGTAACATTAGTCTATAGAAATGTGATTCTACAGAGAATAAGAAAACTCTAAAAAGTTTTTATTAAAATTCCTGTAAGTTTACAATTTAACATAACACTATTTCTTCCCCTTATATTTCCTGTAATTGTCCTAGTGTTTGTTTAAACTTTATCTATCTAAAACTCTTCTTATTCTATATGTTGTATGTTTCAAATTTTTGTTTTTTATATACTTTTAGTCCCTTAACTATTCACTGCTCTCCAGGTACTGGACGTACAGGCACAATAATTGCCTGTGACATAGCAATAAGAAGTTTGGAAACGCCCAAACGTACAGTAGACATACCACAAATTGTCTATTATGTGAGAAGGGGACGGGCCAGTGCGGTACTAACCAAGGAACAATACGAATTTATATATAAAGTTGCCAATATGTATGCAGCTAAAATAACAAATCCCACAAACTATAATTAAATGAAAAAAAATCCGCTTTAAAACAAGTGCCTTGTTTTGGGAAAAAATATAAACAAGTTAAAGTAACAAATTGAAAATTTAAAACACTCATTACAAGTAACCAATTTTAGTCATTATAATTATTATTATTTTTATTAATTAATAAATATTATTTAAATATAATAAAATGTTATTATGATTTTTAAAAAAATTTTGTTTCCTAACAAAATACAAAAACACAGTAAGCAGCTTTATGAACTAAAAATCAAGTTTTTTTAATAATTATTTATTTATCTATGTATTATTCTTTTTGTTTTTTTAATAATTTGCTTTAAAAAGAAAATGTTGCTTTTTTTCTAGCAGCATTTGGAAAATTTTTTTGTTATGTATTAAATTCCTCTTTTTTGTGATATTATAATTATTAAATTAATAAAGAAAAACCTAAAAATGAAACTTTAATTTCTTGTACATTTATTGTAAACTATTATATTCCATTATTATTTAAGTATTAAATAAATAAATTAATGGTTTTTGTAAATATCAATTTTATGTATAAATAATTTAGTAAATATTGTTTATATTTTAATTTAGAAAAAAAAGAAAACATTTAAGGCATTCACTTTACCAGGTAAATTACTAAAATTATATGTTTAAATTGAAAGTATACTGACAGTGTTTAAAAGCCTTACAAGTATATTTTGTTTATAATTGTTTAGTAAATTTATGTAAAAATTGTGAATCTCGAAAAAATATTAGCAACATTGTATACATTTGTATAAAACAAATAAAAAAAATTAATAGAAATTTAATTTGTAATTTGTATTATAAACGAAAATATGTATTTTAAATAAAATATACTATACATACTTATATAACGAAATAATGCTTCAGATTTATTTAATTTTAGTTATTTTTTTATAAAGGTAAAAAAGTAAAACAAGTTTAGGCTGTAACAAATATAAAACCAGAAATTACAATTCTTAGTTTTTAAATTTTGTATTTTTCCCAGTTAAAAATTACAAATTTTAACTACTTGACACTAGTGACAACACTTGTCACTGTATGGCATCACTAAAACTAACGGTACTTTCCTGGTTTATTTCTTTAGTAAATAACAGTGTTAACAATTAGCGTTAATTAAGAAGAGCTAATTGTTAAATGAAAAAATATAAAAAGAAATGAAAAGAGTTTTTGGGTTTAATTAGGAAAAATATGATTCTATACTACATATCGTCACCTAAAACGCAAACGGCTATATCTAACATTTTTTAATCAAAATCAACACTAAAATCGATTTTGAATTTTTGGTTAGTTTTAGGTGATAATATATTTATAATTCGACATAACTGAATTCAGCATTGTTACCTGTTTTTTTTTCTTAAAATGAGTCAAATAGATCCCCAAAATTCAGCCAAGACATCACCAGATATTAAAACAAATCCCCAAAAAAAATCAATTTAGAAATTAAAAATTTAAATTATTTATTAAAAAAATATTAATTAAAAAAGCCTAGAAGTATACCCTAATAAAGAAATAAATCAAATTATTTTTTAATTTAAAACTGTAATTCTACATAAAAACTATTATTTATTGCATTAACAGGTAAGTTATGAGACACTTGTTATTTTTTAATATCAAGGCTATAAAAAATATTTTTAAGTACATTTCTTTAAAAAAATAGAACATACACTATATACATACATACATACACTTAGTTACTAATCAATAACTGACCGAAAAGATAACGAGAAAACCTCATGGCATTTAATAATCTTATAAAAAAAATACCTTGTATATAAAGATAATTTATAAAAAATACAACTTTTATAAAAAATGAGTAGTCAATATGCATAAAACCAATACAAAAATAACATTTTCAAAATCGATATAGAAAAAAATATGCTTAAGTAAAAGCAAGATAAGATTTTAAATAAAAAAACAAAAAAGTTCTTAGCAGTTGGTATATAACAAAAATTCTGATTTTTATATAAACGAGTCTTTCTAACCATTACGTGTAATTTCTATGTAAAAGTGATGTAATAAATTTTTTGTCGTTTAATGGAATTATTTGTCAGGTTATTTTATTATAGCACTTGAAAACTTTTCATTTTGATAAGATTATAAAGTCTCCACACAAGTTATTGTTTTTTCTTTTTTTTTTTCTTTAAGTACTAAGTTCATAAATTTTGTATTTTTTATATAATCATAGTAAATAAATGAGCTCATCAATAGTTAAAAAAAAAATACATAAATTTATTTGTAGTTATTTTTTTAGATTAAAAAGTCATTTTTTTGAAAAATAATTCAAAGGAAATGTGACAATATAAAAATATACTTTTTATACTTATATTTTATTATCATTTTTAGTTTTTTATTATAAAAATGGTTAATGAAATATTACAATTATAATTTTCTATTTTTAACTTAATTATTCTACATTTCAACTTAATTTTATTGTATTTTTAATTTGAATTATAACATTGTGTGATTACTACAGATTTTTAGAGATTTTAAGCTGTTTTCTATTTTCTATGGTTAGCAACACTTATTTATTGTTTACCATAAAGTAACGGTGTTTTTAAAAGAAAACCTCACTTTATGACTTTCTGTTTGTCTCTTTTTCACTCACACTGCTGTAATGATGTAAACAAAATAAATAATTGCTAAACGTTGTTATTGTTTTCTTAGTGGCTTCTAAAACCAGCATGTGGGTGGGTGTTATAAAATTGCTATTATAATATATAAATTTCAATAATAGTGCTAATAAAAAATAGTTTAAATAAACAAAAATGTTTTTAAAAGTAATAACAATTGCAGCGTTTTAGTTTAATTAGCAAAATGTATGTATAAATAAAAAGTTAACGAGTTACAAGTATAGAAAAGGAGATTCATAAATTTGTGGCGGTTTAATAGCAAGGTAAGCTTATTAATTTTGTTATTTTAATTCAAAATGTTTCTTATTAATTATAAAAAACGATCTTATTATGTGCAACGAAAACTTGTTAAATTTTAAACATTCTTTATTAAAAGGCGTGTAATTTTTATAATCCTTCTTACGTGGTAGTAGATTTCTCTAAAATTATCAGAAAAATAATGATTTTATTAATGTGATTTCTCATGAAGTGTTTATTGAGGTATTTACACTTGCCGACTTCAACCCTGTTGCTCTTTCTTTGTTCTTGAGGCAGCGTTCCTTGATGTAGCTGACGTACTTGTTCGGATTAGAGTAGGAATGGAAAATTGAGTATTATAGAACTCTTGCAGCGTTCTATTATAGAGCATCGGCAGCAGTATTCAAAGTGTAATATTTAAGTGTCGTCAAAAACTTTTGTGCAACAAACATCTAAAGAACCACAGGCAATTGTTTTTGTTATACAGCTACCTAACTGTAAACATTTCTGAAGACCCTGGTTAACTTCGAGATCCAAATTTTTAATAATTCATCAGATATGCTTTCGAGAGATTTGCTATTGAAAATCAGCATAATCGATTCATAAATAACGGAGATATCAGAAAAATTCCGACAAACCCCATGATTTTTTTAGAATTTTGAATATTTCGGATGTTATAGCTATAAATAGAGAAGATATGCCTTTGATATGCATTATATATAATGTTAGTGTTTGTTTAATTTTAATAAAATCATAAAAAAATATTATAAATTTTTAACCCAACTAATGAAAAAAAGTTTAAATTTAGTCCCTAAATTTTTCAAAGCCTCTTTAGTTTAGTTAAATTACAATACATTTTGAAAACAATTTGGTTATTTTAAAATTTTACAATACTTAAGGAAAATTACTTTCATAAAACGAAAGTATTTAAAAAGAAGGGCCTGAATTCGAAAGTTAAGTTAAACTTCTACCAGATTTACAAAAGAATTAACGTAAAAATCAACAAGTTTTTTCTAACAGTCTGAAAAACTGACCTAAGTTGTAAAAGTTTCGATCATTACCAATTGCTAGTTAAGTGGACAATATCGTAATCAACCAGGATTATTATTTAATTACATAATCTAAATCCCATTTTCAATTATAAAAGAATTACATTTCGCACCTGAATAAATAATTCCCGCAAATTTTGTAGTCATTCAAACATCAATATATTCTACACAACTTTAACAGCCTGACAAATCCCCACCCCCTATTACAAAATCACATGGCTTGACTCACACAAGTGATCCCCATACGTTGCTCCCACTAATAGACAACGATTTATTAAGCTCTTTTTGCAAACACTTTCGGAAAAGAGAACACTGTAAGATAACATTTTAGAAAAAAAGTTAATTTAAATACAATTGTATTTCAAACAAATGACACTCAAAAACACACTTTTTTGTTGTACTCTGAGGAATTTTTTGATGATTGTTGATGCATGTTGAAAGTAGAATAGAAGAATCTCACAAATAGCAAATTTATTTTATTTGATAAAAGACATGTGAGGAGCCCCCTACTCTACTCGCCCTGTAACATCAAAGTTTAAAGTTTTTTTTTTTTAACAAATTCAATTCACACACTTGCACAAGTTATTTTTTTATTAAATAAAATTTAACTCCTTTTTTAGTTAATAAGATTTTTCATATTTTTTTTTTTAACAAATTTTAATAATTCTTTTTTTATTTCAAAAATTTTGTCACAAATTTTAAAAATCGTTATAAATATGATGGTGTTGTACACTCTTTGTAGTTCGATTACCTAATGATGACAAATCATTTTACTGATATTGCTTTTATATGTTAACCGTTATCTATATTTTTATATTTTATATTCCCTGATATCGTCAATGTTCTATATCGTTTGGTTCTCCGATGTTTTGTTTGTTTGTTTGTGTTGAAATACAAAGATATGTAGGTTTATTAAACTGTTACTTATGGCTTTCTATGTCGAGTATTTACACCGAACGGTGGTTGCGTATTGCATTTTTTCCTTTTACTTCGGTTTCGTCGTTTTTATTTATTTATTCGTATTTATTATCAATTGATAATAATCAACATTGTTTTTTTTTATAAATTTTTTTGACACTTTTATTTACGAAACGTGAAAGAAATCATAACTTTACGGTTATTTGTTTTTCTTGTTTAATCTACTGACCAATAGATAACAATTTTCTTGGTTTCTCGTTTTGTTGTTTGTTGTTGTTTAAGTGTTTCGTTAAAGGGTTTTAGAAAAAACACGACTACTAGTATCTAACTAACTGTCTTCGTATTTACGCGAGATAAAAAGTAGATCAAGGGTTGAAGTAAATATATAATAGTGTATTTTTGTTAGGAAGTGTTGCTTAAGATTTCCAGGTACTTTTGCTGTTTTTTAGAAATTTAGGAAATTTCTAATTACCAGTCTAATTTAGTCTTTAAAACTATAATTTTATAAAAATATTAAGTACTGGACTTAGTAAATCCCGTAAGACCATTTACATCTATTTTTTGGTCATTGTTGTTTAGTTCTTGGTTAGATCATATTGTAATTTTCATTTCTTTATGAAAGATTCCATCCTACATGTTCTACATACAGACTCTTTCATATTAATATATTCTTTTATTAATCTATGAGCGAAAGATAAACAAGATATTAGTAGTTGCTCCTTATTATACTTCTGTTAACATTAATATTATGTTTAATATAAAATGATCGTCCAATGATACTTTATACGTTTATAAGTTATATTATTTTTGCTATTTGAATTCTTTAATTACCAATAATAAACCGATATTCAGCGTAAAATTTGAGTGATCACAGCTTCTCATTATAATTCCTGTAAATTCTTTTATTAACAATTTACACGCAATTTTCGAATTTTTATAAAAAAAAAAATTAACAAATTTGTGTGATCGTTACTTTGTCCTTTACACGATTGACTGATCAGAGTGATCTTTCTCTACACTATAAATAAAATTCTAAGTATATTGATCTCATCAACATCTCCAGTAGACCTCCAATCATGAGATATATCTTTTCGCTACTTGAGTTATACAAAGGATTTATTTCGAATAGACACAGCAGTCGTCTAGATCACCAGAATAGGTGACCTGTTGGTTAAGTTGTAAAGGCGTGTAGAAAAGAATTTGATTTCGAATATTAAAATTTTATACTTCCGACATAAAGTTCAATAATGTACCAACCAATCTAGTAAACCTGTATCTTAACAGGGCAATATAGGAACCTTTTATACAATGACCGGGAACCCCAACAACGACAATAGTATATATTCTTGATGCGAAGCATGTGGTCAAGTATTATCTTTCATTCTATATATCTATGTATCTATCTATCTATCTATCTATCTATCTATCTATCTATCTATCTATCTATCTATCTATCTATCTATCTATTTATCCATCTATATATCTATCTATCTATGTGTCTATGTATCTATCTATCTATCTATCTATCTATCTATCTATCTATCTATCTATCTATCTATCTATCTATCTATCTATCTATGTGTCTATGTATCTATCTATGTGTCTATGTATCTATCTATCTATCTATCTATCTATCTATCTATCTATCTATCTATCTATCTATCTATCTATCTATCTATCTATCTATCTATCTATCTATCTATCTATCTATTTATCCATCTATATATCTATCTATCTATGTGTCTATGTATCTATCTATCTATCTATCTATCTATCTATCTATCTATCTATCTATCTATCTATCTATCTATTTATCCATCTATATATCTATCTATCTATGTGTCTATGTATCTATCTATGTGTCTATGTGTCTATGTATCTATCTATCTATCTATCTACCTATCTATCTATCTATCTATCTATCTATCTATCTATCTATCTATCTATCTATCTATCTATCTATCTATCTATCTATCTATCTATCTATCTATCTATCTATCTATCTATCTATCTATCTATCTATCTATCTATCTATCTATCTATCTATCTATCTATCTATCTATCTATCTATCTATCTATCTATCTATCTATCTATCTATCTATCTATCTATCTATCTATCTATTATCTATCTATCTATCTATCTATCTATCTATCTATCTATCTATCTATCTATCTATCTATCTATCTATCTATCTATCTATCTATCTATCTATCTATTATCTATCTATCTATCTATCTATCTATCTATCTATCTATCTATCTATCTATCTATCTATCTATCTATCTATCTATCTATCTATCTATCTATCTATCTATCTATCTATCTATCTATTATCATCTATCTATCTATCTATCTATCTATCTATCTATCTATCTATCTATCTATCTATCTATCTATCTATCTATCTATCTATCTATCTATCTATCTATCTATCTATCTATCTATCTATCTATCTATCTATCTATGTGTCTATGTATCTATCTATATATGTGTCTATGTATCTATCTATCTATGTGTCTATGTATCTATCTATCTATTTATCTATCTATCTATCTATCTATCTATCTATCTATCTATCTATCTATCTATCTATCTATCTATCTATCTATCTATCTATCTATCTATCTATCTATCTATCTATCTATCTATCTATATATATATATATCTATCTATCTATCTATCTATCTATCTATCTATCTATCTATCTATCTATCTATCTATCTATCTATCTATCTATCTATCTATCTATCTATCTATCTATCCATCTACATCTATCTATATAAAGCTTCTGAATTATCTAATATAATCTGTTTAAGGTTTCACATATAAATTTATAAATATTATGGTGGATCATGGTTCTTGGATTGGCATGGATCTTAAATTATGGAACTATAACTCCAATTCTTCTTTAGTACACCCTTTCTCAAAATGTTTTCATGTTCTTAACTCCGATCATATCGAACTAATAATTTATTTGTTGTTTTTCTTCGACAGGTAGTTCCTACCTTACGAGTGCACATGGTTTTTTTTTTTTTTTTGTCCCCTAAAATCGAAATAGTCATCTAACTTACGATCGCTATTTTACGCTATTTGTTCACTGATAACACATTGACTTCGTCTTGAGAAAAATATATATGGGAAAATAGTAATAATGTGTAAATACTTAAACGAAATAGAATAAAAATTTAAAGTAGTTTAACTATATTGTATGCCTAGATTCGATAAGTATCGTCGTCGTCTTATCGTTATCAGCCAAAAGAAAAAACACAACCAGCCAATTTTTTAACTCTATCATTTTTCTTTTTCGAATATAAAACGTTTTCATCGATACATATGTATGTATGTACCAACACATGTACAGTAAGTTTGTACCTGATTACATATTTATTACTTGGAAATAAAAATATTTGATTTCAATATCAAAATTATCGTTGGAGTCCGTCGAGTAAATTGTATTATAACTAAATATAAAAAAAAATAGTAATCGCCATAAAGTTAAAGTGTCCCACAAACGAAACTAATAGATATGATTGGAAATGCAAGTTAAATTTACGATTATATTGTAAGAATAAGAATTAGAAAAAAATCACATTGTGACATTTTATAGTTTAATGATCGTGAGGTTTAATAAAATTTGCTTACGTGGCATTACAGGTTCAAAAGTTTTTTAAAGTGTATATATTTATTAGAATGTTTTTAAATAATTCTTTAAATTTTTACAACTTCCTTTAAAAAGCTCAACCCCTTAACCCATCATACTCCAAGTACCACGTCACTGTCTATCGTATATTTAACCCTTTTCTTATCTTACTTTTCTTTTTTAAAAAAAGTTCAATATTAATTTCGGACATTAGATTAATAATGAATAGAAAATAGTAAAATAAATATTTGTTCTCGATAAAAAGAACCCTTTTTTGATTAAAATTTATTTTCAATACATTATTATTTGTTTTATTCTGTAGAAATAATAATTTCTTATTTGTTGATAAGATGCACTAAAATATGAAAACGATAAGATTTATAAGGTTTTAAAAGAAACATAATTTATATACATTAAAGTATAATGATTTTACTATATTTTTTTAAAAATTGATTTTAGATTTTTATTAACAATTCGATTTTTGTTGTTGAATTTGATGGTTTCCTTTAAAAATCGAGGAAAAGTTAAAATCAGATGTAACTTCGTTAAAACACGTTTAAATTGGAAAAGAAACTTGATTCATGATCTTTCATGTTTTCCCTTAAAAATCGATATTATTTTTCAAAAATAGATTTTTTGGTAAAAATTTAAAATTGACTGTTACAGTCGTTAAAACACGATTAAATTGAAAAAGAAGCTTGATTTTTAATCAATAATGTTTTACCTTAAAATCGATAATTTTTCCTAATGCGTTTAAATTGAAAAAACAAGATCGTTTTGAGATCACTTCAAAAATATATATTATTTGGTGGAAAACTTGAAAAAACAGACCTTGATTAGTGATCACTAATATTTTCCTTAAAAATCAGTAATTTTTCTTAAAGAAATCATTTTTTTTTTTGTCGAAAACTTAAAATCTTCTGTAATTTCGTTTCAACACATTACAAGTGAAAAAGAAGCTTGATTCGTGATCACTCATAGTTTCTCTTAGAAATCGATATTTTTCTTCAAAGATAGATTTTTTGGTCAACAACTTGAAATCGTCTGTAACTTTGTTAAAACAAGATTCTACCTCTTCTTTTGCCACTTTCCTCAAGTGACATCGTGATTCATTGGAAAATATCACCATAAACATGTGTTTTTATTGTAAATCATGTTATTTTCTTTTAGAATTTGAGTGATCATAAATGGTCATTATTATTTTCACTCAACATTGCCTATTTTTAGGTGTAAGTTATTTAACAACGTGAACAAAATATACTGCATATGTTATGGATGAGATTAGTAACTTTTTCACCATTTGTTGGATGGTTTAATTAATTCATTAGTTATCTATAGGTCATTAAAATTGTAGAATGAATGTTTCATCACTCTGTTAAGGAAAAAAAACGCATTATTATCTCTTGCAATTGACAAGTTATTTCATTTATTCTTTCTATTTTTATTATTATATATAATATCTTTGTATAAATAATAAAATGATGATAATTTTTGTTTTGTAGCTTTTTAATTAATAAACTAAATTTAACTAGACTGACTATAAATTCACAAGGACATTAAATGTCATAGCTGTGTAATTTAGCTTCTTGCTTTTGGTGTAATTCAATTGATCCTTAACTCAATAATAGATGAGCAGATATAAGGAGTAATTGTTTTTGTTTTTGCTACAAAAGTGCTTAAAAAATATTACTTAAAACTAATAAAGATAGATTAAAATAATACATAGAAATATTTATATAAATAGAAAAATACAGCCAGCTGAATATGCAATTAACTGATTCAAGATATTTAGTAGAAATAGTAGTATAAATTAACAAAATATTAATTAACTAATAATGTTACAAAATACAATTAACTACAACTGTATGTTTGTAGTTTACTTGTGCATTGTAAAATATTCAAAACCATTTATTCTCGGTTTTCTGTTCACTTATCAATGGCCTTTTATCTGTCTCAGCTGAAAAACCTTCATTTTGTGCCTCACACAAAAGACTAGCCTCGCCACATTCTTCACTGGGCACTCGTTTATACGAATGTAAACGTCTGCGATTGCGTGTTGGTATAATAGTTTGCTCCGGCAAGGTTTTAGTGGTGTTATATGAGCCCCTTGGATAAGCACGATGACAATGGGGTGAAAATATAGAGGGATAATATTGTCTATATATATAATAGGAGACCACTAAACCAATCAAACTGCCAATGGTAACATCTTCCCAATGATGATGATAATCACAAGTACGACTAACAGCTACTAAAGCTGCCAACACTAAAGGTGTTATAGCAACACACAAACGCCAAGATTCACCACGGCCACGATGATTAAAGGCATGCAGTTTGGCACCTACATAGTAGGTAATAAAACCAAAACCGGCGAAGGCAACTAAAAGTTAAAAAATTTAATTAATTTCTTTAATTATTGGTTTTTAATTCCAAAAAAAAAAACTTACATGACGAATGTCCACTGGGAAAACTTTTACGTCCCTCATTTATTTCCCTTAAATTACCGGTACAATTAAATAAATCCAACATATTTTCCACACCCGTTCCATTGTGTGCCAATTGCATGACACCATCGGGAAAACAACGATAATAAAAATCTGGCCTGGGACGTCCCACACTGATTTTCAAGAGACTTGTGGCCAAACCATTTAAACCCAATATTAAAGTCCAGGCCCAACTGGCAGCACGAAAATCTCGTCGATCCTTTGTTAACGCCAGATGTATTAATGTTACAAAGAACGGCCCAAATATAACGGCCAATAGTAGAGATAAAGGTGAAACATAATCTTTGGTACGAGGATTCTATACATCCACATTCCTCTTTGTGGATGACGCGTGTAAAGGCTGTTTGAATTTCTCAATTTACTGTAGAAGAAAGAGGGGGGTAAATTTGGTCGTTGGAGCATTCAATTTTTTTTTGGTTTTGTTCTGGTTGAAGGAGAAAAAATTCTTTGACTTCCTTACGATACTTACTACTACGCTTACTTACTTACTGACTGGGTGAAGGAGACTTACTTAAAAACTTACTTACTACTTACAGACTTACTTACTTACTACACTTACTTACTTACGGACTTACTACTTACCTTACTTACTTACTTACTTACTTACTTACTTACTTACTTACTTACTTACTTACTTACTTACTTACTTACTTACTTACTTACTTACTTACTTACTTACTTACTTACTTACTTACTTACTTACTTACTTACTTACTTACGTACTTACTTACTTACTTACTTACTTACTTACTTACTTACTTACTTACTTACTTACTTACTTACTTACTTACTTACTTACTTACTACTTACTTACTTACTTACTTACTTTACTTACTTACTTACTTACTTACTTACTTACTTATACTTACTTACTTACTTACTTACTTACTTACTTACTTACTTACTTACTTACTTACTTACTTACTTATTACTTACTTACTTACTTACTTACTTACTTACTTACTTACTTACTTACTTACTTACTTACTTACTTACTTTACTTACTTACTTACTTCTACTTACTTACTTACTTACTTACTTACTTACTTACTTACTTACTTACTCTTACTTACTTACTTACTTACTTACTTATTTATATACAAAATGAATTTTATTAAAAATGTTATAACTTACCTAAAAACAACAACCAATATAACTCTGATACCAATATCAATCAAATCACTGACATACTCTGAATGTTTGCCAAATATTGGTGAACAACCAAAAGCTCTACCACCATCATCTTCTGCATCTAAACTTTGCGATATTCTTTGATTGCGTTGTGGCATTTGATGATGTTGATATTTACTATGATGATGCTGAAGTCCACTACTTAAACTTCTACGAGTCATTTTACGTTTATCCGCTGTACTCATCATTATTTCATCCTCTTCCTCCTCTTGACTAGTACTACTATCGCTTGTCGTATAACGATGTAATTTCTCTGCTGAACTCTCACTAAAACTTCTTTTCGCTGAACGTTTCGTAAACGATCTTCCAGTGTACATTGCTCGTCTCAGTGTTGTTGTGGTTTGTAAAATATTACTCGTTGATAATGATGATGGATTATTTTGCGTTGATTTCTTGGCGTAATTTCTTTTGGGGGGATACGTATCGAAGTTTTTGTTGTAATTATTTTGCCGCTCTTGTAAATGTGTAGTAAGACGACTATGTAGAATATTGTGTTTTCTATAGAGTGTGTCTTCTTCGTCGTCTTTGTCTAGGGAATTATTAAACATACTGTCTGCTCCAAGTTCAGCAGCAGTCTGTTTACTTTGATGTTGAGAATGCTGCTGCTGCTCCAGGTTCTGTTGTGTGATAAAACAAAAGAAAAAACAGTTTGTTTAATTTAAATCAAGTATGTATATGGATACAGTATAATGGTTAGCGCGATAAGATAGTAGAGTGCTATTGTATGTGGGTTTTTGCAAAAACAGTAACGTCAGTAAAAAAACTTTTTATGAGACAAGGGATTTTACAACGACAAACTCATACAGTAAGACGTGTTAGTAAATTGTTCGAAATGAAATACATATTTTGGAAAAGTGATAATTTTGATAGGCAGACTTATAGATATATAGATAGATAGATAGATAGATAGATAGATAGATAGATAGATAGAAAGATATATAGATAGATAGATAGATAGATAGATAGATAGATAGATAGATAGATAGATAGATAGATAGATAGATAGATAGATAGATAGATAGATAGATAGATAGATAGATAGATAGATAGATAGATAGATAGATAGATAGATAGATAGATAGATAGATAGATAGATACATAGATAGATACATAGATAGATACATAGATAGATAGATAGATGATATATAGATAGATAGACAGATAGATTTTTCTTCAGAAATTGAGTTCGATTTTTCCTACTAAATGTTTTATTAAAAATAAATTAAATAATTCGCTTTAATATTTCCTAATAGCCACTCACTGTTTTACATTCTTCTCACGACATTTAAACAAATACTGCTGAATCCTAATCAGTAACTTTTTTAGGCAAAAACTTGTATAGAAAATAAAAACAAACATGTTAAATAGTAAATGTTTAATAGAATTAAACAAGTATCGTACAACAGGTTGTACTGTTTATATTACTAATAAAAAATATTAAATAATGCATGAAAAAACACATGAATTGCTAAAATATTAAATTATAATCTTGATGTTTTCTTTTTATCAAATACTCCACAATAACGATGACTGTGAAATGTAAAATTTATTTATAAAAAAAAACTTTCATACACTAAAGTTTAGTTTAGTCACAAAACACACGACAAATCAATGAGCCCTATTAAAACATATACTTAATGTATATTAGTCAATTATTTAAACAAAAACTAGCAGCAATATGTATTATTTTTATTAAAAATAATGATGACTATGATCTTAACAATGTTTTTAATGCTAATGTTTTGTTGTATCCAACTGCAAGACGATTAGTTTGGCGTAATAAATGAAATCTGAGACACAGCTATAAGTCAACAACTATTTTAGTGTAAATCTTATTCTTTAACTAACCGTATTAGTATGACGTTGTCTCAGCAATGAGGGATTCATCGTTGATGTGGTTACTGTTGCTGCCACCGCTGCTGTTGATGTTGTAATTGGTTTTATTGTTGCTACTGAATTAGTAGTTGAGTCAGTTTTCATTCTTGAATTTAAAAAATAAACCAAAACCCTTAATTTTCACACAATATCACGTGTATTTCAATTTCAACTTTTCAAACTTTTAAATTCAACTTTTTTCTTGGCATTTTTCTTTTAGCTTTCACTTTATTCACTTTTTCCTCTAATCTAATAACAAAGACTCTCTATACTACACCAAAAATATTTTTTGCTAATTATTTTTTTTTTGTAATCTACTCTGGGGCCCAATTTTCTCATTGATTTGTTTAGCTTGTTTGTTGTTATTGTTCTTAGTTTTGTTTTTTTTTTGTCGGGGGGTTACTATAGGTACTTACCCTCTTTTTCCTACGTTTTAAATTAGATTATTTTTAAGTTTTTTACTTGTAACTCTTATATAAATGTAATGTTTTTATCCATTTTTTATTTATTTAAAGTTTTGTAATAATTTGTTAAACAAATATTAAAATAGTAAACACACTTAAAAAACTACACGTCGAGATAAATGTCAATTAAGATTTAACCTTTTTCAGTGTTGGTAAGTGTTCTAATAACAAGGTGTGGTGAAAAAGTCAAATTAAAGAGTTTCGTTGCCAGTTCTTATTAAATTTCGTTACATTTTAGATCCTGAGTTAATATACTCAGCAGGTAAATAACAATAATCTTAAAACCTCAATACAAAAAACAAAAAAAATTTGCCCTTTTACAATAGGGCCGAATTTCAAATAAAGTACAATACATCCTTCCGTTTATTGTTTTAATGAACAACGATAACTATTTAATGTTGGTTGTAGCTGTTTTAGTTTAGGAGATATGAGGTTATCAAAGTTACTTTTTAACCCCCTAAAAATTCGAATTTCCAAAAAATCCGTGTTAGTATAAACTTTAAAGAATCCATTTACTTATTTCGACTAAAAAATTTAAAACAATAATTAAGAATTTCATTTTAAAGACAAGAAAGAAGATAAAACAAAAAAAATATTTTCTAATTATTACCAGGGTGTGGTGAATATACGCATTAACTAGTGTTGGTTATCTTTAAAAACAAAAGGTAAACAAGCTCAGAACACTTCCTAAAGTCATATGATTAACAGCTGTGTTTATAGATTCCATTTTTAGGAAAAAAGTTGACAACTTTAATAAAAATAATTTCTGTTCATTTAATTAAACAATTTAAAAATAAATAATAATGCCGACTAATTTAAATGACGTAAACAATTTACTGGATTCCCTGTATTTGGAATTGTTAAATTTAATAGAACAACAAACAAACTGTCGAGTTAATATTGAAAAAACAAGTAAGAATAATACTTTGCTAAGAATTTAAGGCTTTTTAATAACTTCAACAAAATTTCACTAACTAGCCAATGCCGGACAGTTGTTACTGGCCAAAACACGTTATAATCAAGGCTCTCAAACTATAAGTGTGGCACAAATTCCCACCGAAAACAGTGAAGACTGTAAGGCTTTGTGTCTAGTAACAGAGGAGGCAAATGAGGAAACTGTAGCGGGCTGCAAGAAAAGTTTGCTACGTCACAAAGTAGATAAGAACGAGGGTTATTTGGAACCCATGCACTGGTTTACCATCTTGCCTTCCATGTCTTTGCGTAATGCGGCAGAACAATTTAAGAAATCAGTGGATTTGGCTATAGAAAGTGCTAATATACAAAATGAAATGTTGGCCATTATGAAAAGCATTGAACATTTAAAAGCTCTAAAACAACAAATTTAATTTGATCATATTTTTATACAAAATATTTTATTATTATTTTTTAAACTATTTTAATAATGCACATTCCCGTTTCTCATCATTATTCATCTTTACAATTGAAAGTCATTTTAATCATATCACCCATGCCACATTCAATGACATCTCCTCCCTTAATGGGCAACGAACCATTGGGTGTACCAGTCAAAATAATATCATTTGGTTCCAGAGTCATAAATTGTGAGGTATACGAAATAAGATCGTCAACTTTGAAAATTAAATCCGAAGTATTGCCCTTTTGTTTGTATTCCCCATTAAGTTTAAGCCATAAGTCGACATTGTGAGGATCTTTGATATCTTCAAGTTTAATAAAACGAGATACTGGTGTAGAAGTATCAAAACCTTTGCCCAAAGACCAAGGATGTCCTTTAGCACGAGCCTCACCCAATGCACACTGAGCAGTCATATCTAAAGCCAAACAATAGCCACCAACATAATTTAAGGCCTCAGCTTTGGAAACATTTTTACAATGTTTGCCTATAATAACACCCAATTCAACTTCATAGGCTACCTTAGTAAAAACTTTGGGTATCTGGAAATAGAAAGAAAAAATAAATACAAAAAAACTAAATTTTTATTCTAGCTTTAATACTTACCACAATATCTTGACCTTCTTGTACCAAAGAAGTGGTGGGTTTTAAAAACATCAAAGGCAATTCTGGTACAGGGACATTTCTTTCCCTAACAATATCCCTGAAAATTAGAATAAAATTAGTATAATATAAAATATTAAAATAAATCTTATAACGTACATATAATTTAAAGCAGCTCCTACAATCTTCTTGCTATTCTTAACAAAAGATTCCAATTCTGTATTGCTAGCAGTGGCCATAGTTCTTTTTGTGATGTTGTTTAATAAACGCGTTAAAAACACTACAAATTTAGCAGAAAAATTTTAGTGTGACAATTAAAATTGTATTAATAAAATATGATAAAAGAGCCTTCTGCTGTCAGGGTCGTTTCAAAGTGAAATGCCCCTTTATAAAAACAATATGAAGGCACACGCAATTATTTACTCACTCCATGTCGTTCACATTCTCTTTAACTTACTTTTTATTGCTGGAAATTTTCTCTTTTTCTTAACGATAAGCTAAATAAATGATAACTTTTGACTTGGCCCACAGGGAAATTAGTTTCGTGTTGTTTTGTATTGATGATTGTATAAAAAAAAGCTTTTCTAGTTCTTTATTTATAATTATCATTATCGTGTAAGAAAATAGTCATTATTATCATTCTACATAGTTTTGATAAGAAATGTCAAAATCAGCTGTTATATGTTTTGAAAACAAACGTGCATGTTAGGTAGGGTTTTCGATAACAGCCGGATTTTTTTTATAAAAGGACAACTATAAAAATTAGAAAAAAAAAATACCAATAAAATAAATAAATAATGAATCCTCATGGCATCGAACTTTTTTCCTCTGAATAGACATTTGGTCTATTCATCAAGAAATTATTGAAAAAATTTAGTATATATTTTTAAACAAGTTCAAAACAAAATTCCAATATTCGAACATACTTTAAAAAGTCTATATGAAACTAAACGGTTTCAATCATTCTCATCCTTGTGTCGAGAAAAAGGAAAGAAATTTCATCAAATTACCTTGAAAATTGTACATATATAGCTTAATCGACACAGAAAGTCAGGCTGCTTTCCCAAACGTCTGATTTCGACGTCAAAGTTTTAATAAAATCAAGCAGTAATAATTTACAGCAACCTCATTCTTAGCCGATTGGTATACTTTAATGGGTTTTTGGGTGTTACAAACATCAAGACAAAACTCATAATGCTCTCCCCACTATAGTGGTGTAGGGCAGAAATTGGCCTAAAGTAAACTAAAATTGTATTTCTTAGAATCCTCGTGATATAGGTATTATTTTAAACCTTAAACATATTTGTTACATATATTAAAGTTTTTTTTTATGTTCATTAAAAATACAACTTTTATAACTAATAAGAATTACAAGTCAAATAAAACTAAAATTGTGTTTTTATAAAACCTCATGATTTAGAAATTATTTTTCGAATTTTCAAAAGGATTTTTAAGGATAATTCATATCCTGAGATTAAGAATTCGCACTTTTAATTCCAAGATCATAAATTGAAATTATTGGCGATTTATTTAATACAAACATTGACAACAGTGTTGCAACTTAGTGATTTTATAAGTTATTAAAAATAGCCTATATCTTACAAATGTAAGCAATTATTTTTAATTATTACTCAAAATTTTTATATAAAATTTAGAGTAAAAACGTGTTGGAGCAAGATATTATGACAATGTCTTTGACAAAATTGTTTTTGAAACCTGAAAGAAAAAATATTTTCGCTTTAACATTCAACTTCTTTTGTGTTATTCAGGAATAAAAAATTTAAAAAGTTTTTAGTAGTATGATGTTTATTAAATAAAGGACTATAAAAACTACTATATTTTAATACATAAGTATGTAATCAAAAATGTTGAAAAATTTCAGAGAAAAACACGCGTTTTTATGATTAGAAATTTCAGCGTTTTTCTAAATATAACCCTCAATTGACAACTCCGTTATAAAATTTTAAAAGTTTATTTGTCTCCCTCATTTCAGTTTTATTTCTGGTCGCGCCGAGTTTGGTTGCGTTTATTATTTTTTTCATCAAATTTGGATAAAGAAGCAATTTGTTTTAACATAAAATTTGCAAAAGTAGTATTTTTAAAACCCCTTACGGCTGCATATTTTATGCATTTTTAGTGCTGTGAAAACTTAACAATATATAGAAAACAATTATAATTCCAAATATAACAAACAAATGCAAGAAAATTATTACAAAATTAAAAGCAAAAAAAGTACAATTCTTCAACGAATGACTTGCGCTTGTTCATCGTCTTGAAAGTAGAAAGAAGAAAAATTACGAACGAATTTTAGTGTGAGACAGAAAGAAATAGATAATATTTAATTTTGCCTATGGCAAAGATTATAAGTGCAAAAGGGTAGGCTGTATAATGCAAAACCTTTAAGAAAACATTTGCCTGCCTAAACAGAGAGAGAGCGAGAGAAACAACTACTGCTGTTTGAAAACGTAAAAACACTCTATCTCTCTTGAATCATAATTGAAGAAGTGTACGTGTTGTTATTGTAAAAAAACGCGAGTGTATTTTATGAGAAGATTGCAACTTTTTTATTTAATTTTTTTCCTTCAAATTTCACTGTGATTTTTATTTTCTTTTTTTTTTCGTACAATTTGTCATTTAATAATATTTTATAGTGCGTGTGTTGCAAAACAAAATTATCAAATAAAAAGAAGTAATTTTAATTATTATTAGATTTCCTAGTGGAATCTGAATTGATTATTCTTAAACATTGTGTTTTAAAGAAAAATAAAAACCATTTATTAGAAATTTAGTTAAAGTTTTAATTTAAAAAAATATGATGAAAATGGAGACTGATAAAATTATGGATGAAACCAATTCCAACTCACAACCTGTAAGTTTTTTTCTTCAACATTTTATTTCGTTTATAAATTTATGAATCTTTCTTGAAAACAATTCTGTTGTATTTGTAGTTTGTGGGTATTTTGTTGTTTATTTAATTTTATTGAATATTCAATTTGTTAATCCAAGGTTTTAGTTATTTAACTTTAGTTTCACCTTTAGTAAAGGTTTTTACTTTTTTTATTTTGCTAGGTATTTTTTTAGCAAATTGTGATTTAAGAAAATTTATTTAGATTTTTAAACAATTTTTAGTTTAATAAGTTTAGAACAATTGCATTTATAGTATTTGTCATTAATAAATAAAAAAAGAAAAGTAAAAAAATAAATAAAAACTCAGATGAGAAAGAAGACAAAGACAATTTACTATGACATCTGCACAGTGGGTTGATAGATTAGAAATGCGAAATTTTAACGCAACAGTATTCAGTCAGTTATTAAGTTAGTAATGAAGCAAATTAATTAGTAAATAAGTTAGTTATGAAGCAAGTTAGTAAGTAAGTCAGTTATTTATTAAGATATGTATACACGCTTGTCAGATCTTACAACGTTGCACAGTGGTATAGGAAAAAAAAAAGAGGGAAATAATTCGGTAACTTCTAAACGGTTAATCCGATTTTAATGAAATTTGGTATGCACAAAAAGGAGGTGTTGTCGAGTTTAGGTTTTGAATTTGGACCTTATAGGCCAACCAGGGGCCCGGCGGGGGGTCCTCAAATTAGGACACCTCGGCTATGTTAAATTTTTAAAACGATCTTATTTCTTCATTTGAGTTCCGATTTAAAAAAAATTTCGTATATAGAATCTTCTCATCGAGCACTATAAAAAATGTCGTCGTAGCAGTAAATTATCTCTTATAGTTTAGGAGATATTCGCATTTGAAAATTAAAATTTTAAAATTTTTACCGTCCTTACTTTAGTTTTTTGATAATAGCGGGTCTAAATATTCCCGATTTTCGCCATTTTTTTTTTATTCGCTTAACAACAAGTCTATATATCAAGCAGTGAAAGAATTATGTAAAAATCATGACTGAGTCCAAAGTTATAGGCATTTTAATTTAAAAAATTAAAAAAAGGCGATTTTTTGCCATTTTTTTGGGAAAAAAGTATCTTTTTCTTTTTAAGTTATCTAAAAAGTTTCTAAGAAGATGTATATAGAATTTATACTTTTTGAAAAGCTGACTTTACATAAAATACGATAAATGAAACAAAACCTAAAAATTTTTGATACCGAGGGGACCAGATCCATCCAAAAAAACCCTATTTTTTATATAAAATTCAATTTTGAGCAAAAATTCTCAAATCGCATAGTCGATATCAAATTATAGTGACCTGTTTTATATGACCCAATATGTTCTTAATCATTTTGTAACGGGTTTCGATAACCCCGCCCCTGGTATGGATATAATAGGCAAAAAACCAAAAAATCCCATTTTTGGGATTTTTTAAAACTTTTTTGGGAATTCCGGGATTTCTAATAAGAAAATTCGAACTTTTTATTTAATTTTAGATTTTGAGTAAAAAAATCTACCTAACTGTAAAATTTCATCAAAAAATATTCATAAATAAAATTTTTATTGCAATTTGAAAAATTTGTATCTTCGCAAAAACTGAATAAAAAACATTTTTTAATTTTTTTAAAAAAAGTATTCCGCGAATTTTTTAATTTTCAAAAATTATATACAGTTTTGAAAAATAGACAAAATTACCTTTCCATTGATATATAACATGCCTACCTAATGTTTTTTAAGTGACAAATTAATTAGGGAAAACTCAACATCTTTTAGAGAATTTACCTAGTACTATTATTTTCATCCATTCATTTGTTAGGCATGTTTTACTACCTAAATTTTTATGAATTTTTACAGCCACTTTTTACGATTAATCTTTTATTCTTTATCCCTAAAAAAAATTAACAAGTATTTATTTTATATAAAAATAGTCTTTATTTATTTTTTTTTTTATAAATTAATATAATTTTGTAAAATAATCGGTATCACAGTAGTCCATATCTAAAAGATAAAGTAAATCTTTAAATTCATGAATATTTTCAAATGCTAACGTTTTGTAGCAAATCCAACGTTTCCTTATAGTAGATAAAACAGGATCAGAAGATAGAATTAGATTATTAAAAATATCTTCATTTTGAGACTGCCTAGAACACTTCCTTGAGCTAAACTGATGAATATGCTTAAAGTCTCTATTCCTCGATTCTTGGGGTTCTTCTGTAAGCTCTCCTAAAGGCAGAATATTATGTTCTATGATGACCTTTCCATGACATAATATCTTGTGAACTGTAGGTGTCATTTCTTTCCAGGGATATAATTCCAAAAGTAATTTAGAAACTTTTGTAGAATACTCTCCAAATTTTGTTGCGTTCACTTTATGCTTGCTATTTATCGCCATTAGAATAATATTGACCTTTTGCAGTAAATCCATACTAATTCCGGTTATTTCGGAAGTAGTTTCAAAATGTTTAAAAAAACGTCTAGCGGTATTACCATCGTTTGTGCTTCCATATCCTGTGAGTGGTTTATCAATATTTAATCCCATCCGCTTTTTAAATTCCTCTTGAATTCTTCGTTTCTCACTGGCTCTCATTTCCATTAACTCCTTATTGTTATTTGCACTTTTGTTTGCATTTTCCTGTATGCTTCTGTACTTTAAATCATATGCTAAATGTAGAAAATGTTCCAGAAATCGTATGCGAGCATGTAGGGGGGATATTCCAAATTGTAATGTTTCCTCATTTATTGATCTTTGCTTGGAAATATTCGAAAATTCTGATTTTTTATCACCACATATGTAGCAGTACCAAGTAGATGATGTTCCTGTAATGGCATTTCCAACTTTCCCATCAATCATTGTAAGTTTTAAATCATAGGACATGTTAAACGAATAATTTTCTATTTCGATTGTTATAGGTTCCAAGTTTTTAATTTCTGCTTCAATACGATTTATCAAATCTTGCGTTGTTGTTTTGGATTCCTTTATATACTCAAAGCTTATTGGCCTACAAAAAGCTTTGGATCCTGGAGTCGAATTCTTCCAAATATCATCGAAACTGGTTGATGGAGAATCGCTGTCAGCATACTTTCGAATTCTTAATGGAACTAGCGATGCCATAAATACACTTTTATACTCGGAAGATGATTCACTTGTGTTGATTTGTTTATATTCCGAGAGTGCTGATAATCCATCACATCCCCACTTACAAATGAGTTGAAGATCACAAGAATTTATTTTTTTTAGTTGGTCTGAAGAAAAGTCAGAAGCAATCCTTAAAGCAGTATTTTCGAGTAGAGCGCCGAGTCCAATAACAGCCTTCCGATCAGTTATTTCAATAGGAGATGGTATAATGCTTTTCTTCTTTTCATTTATTTTGTCATATGATGGTAAAACATCCACTCCTTTTTCAGATAGCGCCTTTCTTAACGTTATGTAGTTATCACTTAATCCCAGCTGCAACATAAGCGCAATAGCTTCTTCCTCAGTGAACGTTGTATCAGATGATGGTGTGGGTATACTCTTTACAATTCTTTTCAGTCGTCTTGGTGATGCGGTTGGAAGAATATTTGCAATTTTTATGGCATCCAAAGGCTGTTTTTCTTTTCTTAACATTGCTTTAAAAGTGTCCGAAACTTCTTCGTTAGATAAGGTTTCTAGTGAAGTTGATAACCTTTTCCTCTTAGATTTTGAGCTCAAATCCTCATACTGCTTACAGGGAGTACCAACAGTTGATACGCAAATAGCAACTTCTACACATTCATTCAGCCAATCAGAAAATTTCGATCGAAATTTAGCAATGGAATACCGAACACTCTTCAGTTTTATATCAACTGATTTTATAAAATTTTCAATTTTACATATATCAGTTTTATCCACTTTATTTTTATGTGCAGTTTCAATATATTTCAATAAGAAGTTCACTTTATCTTGAAAAGGAGCTGAAGAGTGTTCAAATAAAATGGAGCACAAATCATTTTTTTTTAGTACGATCGCCATGGTTAGAAAATTACAAATAATTACAAACAGATATAAACCTGTCTTATATATTAATTACAGGTACTTAAATTAAATTATTTTTTAAAGGGTTATGATATTCTACCTAATATGTCTAACGTATCCTTATGTAATGAATTTTTCCTCAATAGGTCACTTTAATAAGCTACCTATTAAAGTGACCTATAGGGGTAAAAATCATTACAGTTTAAAAAATAATACCTGAAAATTTTTTAATATATGTAACAAATTTAAGAGTTAACGTTATGGATGAAAATAATAGTGCTAGGTAAATTTTCTAAAAGATGTTGAGTTTTCCCTAATTAATTTGTCACTTAAAAAACATTAGGTAGGCATGTTATATATCAATGGAAAGGTAATTTTGTCTATTTTTCAAAACTGTATATAATTTTTGAAAATTAAAAAATTCGCGGAATACTTTTTTTAAAAAAATTAAAAAATGTTTTTTATTCAGTTTTTGCGAAGATACAAATTTTTCAAATTGCAATAAAAATTTTATTTATGAATATTTTTTGATGAAATTTTACAGTTAGGTAGATTTTTTTACTCAAAATCTAAAATTAAATAAAAAGTTCGAATTTTCTTATTAGAAATCCCGGAATTCCCAAAAAAGTTTTAAAAAATCCCAAAAATGGGATTTTTTGGTTTTTTGCCTATTATATCCATACCAGGGGCGGGGTTATCGAAACCCGTTACAAAATGATTAAGAACATATTGGGTCATATAAAACAGGTCACTATAATTTGATATCGACTATGCGATTTGAGAATTTTTGCTCAAAATTGAATTTTATATAAAAAATAGGGTTTTTTTGGATGGATCTGGTCCCCTCGGTATCAAAAATTTTTAGGTTTTGTTTCATTTATCGTATTTTATGTAAAGTCAGCTTTTCAAAAAGTATAAATTCTATATACATCTTCTTAGAAACTTTTTAGATAACTTAAAAAGAAAAAGATACTTTTTTCCCAAAAAAATGGCAAAAAATCGCCTTTTTTTAATTTTTTAAATTAAAATGCCTATAACTTTGGACTCAGTCATGATTTTTACATAATTCTTTCACTGCTTGATATATAGACTTGTTGTTAAGCGAATAAAAAAAAATGGCGAAAATCGGGAATATTTGGACCCGCTATTATCAAAAAACTAAAGTAAGGACGGTAAAAATTTTAAAATTTTAATTTTCAAATGCGAATATCTCCTAAACTATAAGAGATAATTTACTGCTACGACGACATTTTTTATAGTGCTCGATGAGAAGATTCTATATACGAAATTTTTTTTAAATCGGAACTCAAATGAAGAAATAAGATCGTTTTAAAAATTTAACATAGCCGAGGTGTCCTAATTTGAGGACCCCCCGCCGGGCCCCTGGTTGGCCTATAAGGTCCAAATTCAAAACCTAAACTCGACAACACCTCCTCTTTGTGCATACCAAATTTCATTAAAATCGGATTAACCGTTTAGAAGTTACCGAATTATTTCCCTCTTTTTTTTTTCCTATACCACTGTGCGTTGGCAAGACATTTTTTGTCTTGCAACGTTGTCAGAAAAATCATTGTTAGTATACTGTAAAACAATAATATTGTCAGACATCTAACAGTCATGTCAACAAATAACGTTGCCATTGTCTGACAATTTTTATTGTCAGATGCAAAAAACCATTGTCAGATAAATAAATGATTTCTATTGGCAGATAAATTTATTGTCTGGAACGTCTAAACTGACAATTTACCTATTGCTAACAAATGTTCGTTGTCAGAACATTGCCAGATCTGCCAACGTTGTAAGATCTGACAAACGTGTATACATAGCTATAGCTACTTACTTACATACATATTTGATATGAACTATCGTTTTAAAGCTTTCTGTTATGAATAAAATAAACTTTTTTGAGCATATTTGTAAAATTCTAGTAGTTAAATTTTGGTTGCCCTGCCCTGGTTATTAGTGATCAATTCACAGGAATCACTTTCACTTTTCAAATATTTACATAATTAAAACAAAAAATATTCAGTTTTAAACTCCAAGAATATTAAAATATTAGCAATTAGTAAACAGAAAGGGAAATAAACTTTTTATTTTAAAAATGTTCATAACAAATTTTTACTATATTTTTTCATTTGATAGTGCTGTTATTTATAAAAATTTTGCAATAAATTTCTTGCTATCTCTGAATTTATAACACTCAAGATTTTCTTCAGTTATAGATAATTTAAAAATAAAAAAATTCAGGTACCTACATTATTGACAACATAACACACTACATATTTAATTAATTTTTTAACTAAAATTAGTAAGATTTGTTACTAACATTTTCGGGGCTAAATCAATTGTTATTTTTCCTACATTGTAGTAGCTAGCAGTTTCTGTTTGTTTGTTTATTTAACAAACTCATAATACAGGCCATGCAAAATTCATACATACTTGTCACAAGGTTATATTTACACATTATTATTTAGTTTTTTTTTTTTTTTTTCATTTATTATATGTGTAAATATACATGTATGAGCCTACATACTTACATACATGTATAAATAAATATTTTTTTTTTTTATTTTAATTACCCGCAAAACAAACTAACTGTGTGATTGTCTGTCTTTCTTAACTTACCTTTTCTGTCGTTGCTGATTATCAATTAAGTAAATTTCAAATATGATATTTATTATACATACATATGTACATATTGAGTAATGCATGTGTTATATTCAAATGCGTATAATACACATTTAACAACAATATTGTATCTTTAGTTTTTTTTTTTTTTTTGAAAAATAATTACTTCCCCGCAATCATAATTGTGTTCATATACGTCATCAGTGGTAAAATTGAAAAGTTGTTAAAAAAAAATTAAAAAGTCAATCCGATTCTCTGACGAATGCAATGTCTTCCAAAATAAAATCCTCAGAGCATTCATATTTATGCGTTGCGTTTATAGTAAAAAGTATAATGATATACAAGACAGGCTTCTTAGATCTAAATGGAATGAAAAGATTGATAAATCGATCCATTTGCCGTTATCATAGAATGTAATCTGATCGAATCTCTCTTGCAAAATGGATTGCAATGTTTCATAGTTTTATTAAAGTTGTCTATGGACTCTGATTAGGATTTTAACTAGACAATCTTCAATTAGAGCTTTTACTATGTTCGTTTTTTATTGAAATTAAAAACATGTTCCTGGACCAAATGTGAAGGAGTGCTGAAGCAGATTTTAAAAATGTAAACTGTAGATTATTCTTGGCTTACTTACTTAATTACTTACTTACTTACTTACTTAATTACTTACTTACTTACTTACTTAATTACTTACTTACTTACTTACTTACTTACTTACTTACTTACTTACTTACTCTTACTTACTTACTTACTACTTACTTACTTACTTACTTACTTACTTACTTACTTTACTTACTTACTTACTTACTTACTTACTTACTTACTTACTTACTTACTTACTTACTTACTTACTTACTTACTTACTTACTTACTTACTTACTTACTTACTTACTTACTTACTTACTTACTTACTTACTTACTTACTTACTTACTTACTTTACTTACTTACTTACTTACTTACTTACTTACTTACTTACTTACTTACTTACTTACTTACTTACTTACTTACTTACTTACTTACTTACTTACTTACTTACTTACTTACTTACTTACTTACTTACTTACTTACTTACTTACTTACTTACTTACTTACTTACTTACTTACTTACTACTTACTTACTTACTTACTTACTTACTTACTACTTACTTACTTTACTTACTTACTTACTTACTTACTTACTTACTTACTTACTTACTTACTTACTTACTTACTTACTTACTTACTTACTTACTTACTTACTTACTTACTTACTTACTTACTTACTTACTTACTTACTTACTTACTTACTTACTTACTTACTTACTTACTTACTTACTTACTTACTTACTTACTTACTTACTTACTTACTTACTTACTTACTTACTTACATACTTACCAAAAAGTTTTTTTACCTTTTTCTACAAAATTTATTTCTTAAGATTCTAGTCCATTGTCAATTTTACTACTTTAAAATGGATAAAAAATAATATGTGTTTACATTACTATGTGCACATGTAATATAGACATAAATATAGAAAAACAAGTGAATATAATCTGGTTACATACAACAATTGTACGTACATACATATGTACATATATACATTCATATCTCTAATTTATAATTATGTTAAAGTAATACAGACAAAATTTTTACAAATACTACAACAACAATTATAATTTGAGTGTCAAGGTTTACAATTTAAGTTTTTTTTTGTTTTAATTTTTTGGGGGGTGAGTTAGATACACAATTCAAACATATCATTTTAATCTAACCCACATAATAACACTTTTTTCTATTGAATGTTTTTTGTTTAAAATGTTTGCATTTGTATGAGTCTAAGTTGTTTATTATTTTAATTTAAAAATGGATTTTTTTTGTTTGATTTTTTTTAATTTTTAGAAATTACCTTCAATTTAACAGAGCGACATAAATTGTTTTTCATAGTTTATTGATTAGTGTAAAGAACCAGGGGTGTTGAAAATATTTTTATTTAATTTTTTTTAATTTTTTTGTTAATTTATAAATTTTATTATATTCTGTTTTTAAATTTCCTTTTAGTTTACTTCAACCATGCTGTATGATCCCGTACGCAAGAAAGAATCCTCCCCCACATTTCAAGTTGAACGTGAAACCTGTTTGACATACTTCTCACAATGGAACGAAGCTGATCAAGTGGATTTTGTTGAACAATTACTGTCACGCATGTGCCATTATCAACATGGTCATATCGATGCGTTTCTAAAGCCAATGTTACAGAGAGATTTTATTTCATTATTACCGAGTAAGTAAAGTTTTCAATTGTGAGTGTGTTTTTGTATTGTTGTTGTTGTTTCTAAACTTGTTTTAAACTTAATTGCAAATCACTTCCTAAACATGTTTTTAGTGTTTGCTTTTTTTTCCGCCAGTATTACAAACTTTATAATGAATAATATTATAAAAGTTTGTTTGTTTAGCAATTAAAAAAATGTAGTTAGTAATTTTTATATAGAATTGGAATAGTAATTGTATAATAAAGTTGTTTAAATGTTAAGTAAAACTATTTTTATATTTTTCTTTATAAGTATGAAAATCTTAGTTTTTTTAATTTTTATACAGAAACTTTTTATTTGTTTGAGGGTTTTACTCGTTTATTATATATTTTGTTTATTTTTGTATCTGTTAAATTGTTTTTATTTTTGTAATGAAAGCAATGACCTTTGAGTCAGCAACAATTTTCAGAAATACAAAAAAAAAACAATATACATACTCTAATAACTTGATATTAAAAATTGAAGTCTTAATAAATGAAACGTTTTATAAATGAATGTTAACCAAAAAAAAGCTGAAACAGACTTAACAGCAATGAATTAATAACAAGTAAAACATTTTGAATGGGCCGTATTTTTAAATACAATTTATGACTTATAAAACGGCAGGGGTGTTATTTAATTTGGCAGCTTTTGCTTTAGAAAAACCAACCTGAAGTTACAAACAATTTTATTAATTATACAATATTACTTTTATAAAAATATAGATATTTTATTTTCCTAATATTTTTACAAAAAGCTAGCTATTTACTTGGTCTATAGCTTAGGAATAACAAAAGCAAAAAAAATAGTTTATAAAATATTAAGATTTCGTTTTAAATTGTTTTTAAAATCATTGTTTAAATGTATCTGTAGTCAAGGTTTAAATTAATTGTTAAGTATTTAAAAATCTAATTTTAATTTATATAAACAATCCCTAAAAAAGTCTTGTTGTATTCATCTAAAGAAGTATCCTTGAAAATAAACTTAATTTGAAAATAATTATTAAATTTTGTTAATAGAAACAATACAGAATTCGACTGTAGCAAATTTTAAACAACCTTCATTTCTAATATTTCCTTGAATGTATAAAAAAATCTAATGAAACGTTTGATATAAATATTTAGATACCAGGCTCCAAACACAATCTTTGGTTTATGTTAGCTTTGGTTTAAAAGGGAAACGAAGAAAGAGACAGATTAAAAAGAAAGAAAAAAGTAAGATATTGGAGAACTGGCCTAGTTCTTAAATTACTATATTCAATCCTCAGAATGATAGTAATATGAGAGCAGATCTGAATTCTCGCTATAATCCCTAGTTCCTCAACATTTTCGCACAATCAGCTGAAGTCCGGTATAGTTATGTCCCATTTACTAGTGAAAGTTCTAATCTATTGATGGTGTTATGTAATCTATCAGAGATCATAAGAAAGTAGGTGATCGTACTACTCTGTCATTTATAATTCTAGGCCTAGGTTCGAACGCTGTCTGTCAAGTATGACAAGTATGGACAATTCGGTATTTTAGTATTCAGTATATTAGTATAGTCTATAGTCTGGTCTACAGTCTAGTCTATAGTCTAGTCTATAGTCCAGTCTATAGTCCAGTCTATAGTCTAGTCTATAGTCTAGTCTATAGTCCAGTCTATAGTCTAGTCTATAGTCCTGTTTATAGTCTAGTCTATAGTCTAGTGTATAGTCTAGTCTATAGTCCAGTCTATTGTCTAGTCTATAGCCTAGTCTACAGTCTAGTCTATAGACTATAGACTAGTCTATAGTCTAGTCTATAGTCTAGTCTATAGTCTAGTCTATAGTCTAGTCTATAGTCTAGTCTGTAGTCTAGTCTGTAGTCTAGTCTATAGTCTAGTCTATAGTCTAGTCTATAGTCTAGTCTATAGTCAAGTCTATAGTCTAGTCTATAGTCTAGTCTATAGTCTAGTCTATAGTCTAGTCTATAGTCTAGTCTATAGTCTAGTCTATAGTCTAGTCTATAGTCTAGCCTATAGTCTAGTCTATAGTCTAGTCTATAGTCTAGTCTATAGTCTAGTCTATAGTCTAGTCTATAGTCTAGTCTATAGTCTAGTCTATAGTCTAGTCTATAGTCTAGTCTATAGTCTAGTCTATAGTCTAGTCTATAGTCTAGTCTATAGTCTAGTCTATAGTCCAGTCTATAGTCTAGTCTATAGTCTAGTCTATAGTCCAGTCTATAGTCTAGTCTATAGTCCAGTCTATAGTCTAGTCTATAATCTAGTAGTCTAGTCTACAGTCTAGTCTATAGTCTAGTCCATAGTCTAGTCTATGGTCTAGTCAATAGTCTTGTGTGTTGTCTAGTCTATATTCTAGTCTAGTGTATTTTGTACTAGTCTAGACTAACCTGTAGACTAGACTAGATATTGAAAACTGTCAGTCAATCATTAACCTAAAAATTCTTCAATTTTGCTTAAACTAATCGATAATTTATGTAAAATTTTTTAGTTTAAAAATAGTACATTTCGAAAAACAGTTTTTTGAAATAAAAACTATTCTTCAGTTTTCGTCCATTATGTTTTCAAATTTCCTTTTTTTATTGGTTACCCTGATCAACATCTCCATTAAAATAATGAAATTAAATGACTAAACTAACTTCATTACACATACCTTCAGCATGTTGTTGATGATGATATTGTTTGTGTTTTAATATTTAAAACTTTTTTACAAGGTATTTTAGTTTTAAAATATTAAATATCAAAAAGAAATCATGTTTAACAAGGTGTTTTAGTATTTTTTTTTTTAATTTTTTCAGTTGATTTTTTTCTCTCTATTTTGTGTGGCATGTTATAAATTATTTGTAATAAAATTGTAATATATCTCAGCATCAAATAAACATATAGAGGAGCTTTCATAATACACATTATACCACACAATTGTGGAAAAAATCTATTTTAAACAAAAAGATAATATGAAAAAGTAATAAAAAAAATTAAATCAAAATTGAAAAAAATGCACATAACAAAATTTCAACATGCAGAGTTGGGTTTTGCTAAGGGGGTACAGAAATTAGCTTTAATAGAAATTTTCGAAATTCAAAACCAATTTTTATACCAGAAACCTTTTAAAACTGATAATTTGAAAAAATATATAACATTTTTATGTATTTTTAAAACTTTTTAATGGTCTAACCCTTTTTTTTTTTTCAAATACAAAATCACAAGACATACAAAGCAGTAAAAAAAAAGTTTAAAAAACCAAACAAAACGTTAAAATTTTTTTGGGTGGAAAACCAGTTATTTTGATTTTTTGTTTGTATTTCGCTGATGATGTACCACAGCGCAGAAAAAGAAGAAGAAGTTTGTAACAGCTTAAGCTCTGTCAGGCTAGATATCTGGCTGACTCGCTCGCTGAATGTCTGTAGTTTGTTTGTATGTTTCAGGTTGTTTAGTTTTTAGCTTAGCTTGAAGTAATAGTTTTGGAGTCTTTTTCTTTTTTATTTGAATGTTTTTATTTGTATGTGTTTGAGTTGCCAAAAGGTTTTTTTTTTTGCTTTAATTTGATATTTTTTCGTATTTCTGCTAAAGTTTCTTTGTTGGCTATACATACAATTTCCTATAAAACAAAGGCTAAATACAAATAATACAAGAAGAAATCAAGCAAACGTATATATTTAACACGTTGAAAATTACTAGTAAATGAAAATTATGAGATTTAGCTTTAAGCAATCTTCTGGTTTAGCGTTTGTTTTTTTGTTTTAGTCTTTATGTATGTTTGTCATAGTTGGATTGGAAGTGTATATATTTGCAACTGTCACTTTAGATTCATAATATGATTATACGGCTATCTGCACTAATCAACAGCAAAGTCTATAGCAACACAACAAGAGATGCGTTATTGTAGGCTTTAAGGCATTTTTTGATTTGATTTTGTTTTTTTGTCTTTTTTTCGTTTGGGAGTTTTTTTTTTTAGTAAACAACTGTTGTTTGTTTTTTAAGTAAAGTATAAAACTATTGAAATGGCATGACTCATGAGTTAAAGATTAATATAGTCGGCCCGGCCCATATCTACCACACCCTTGCCCTTTCACAAAAAGTCATAACTCAGGAGCATTCAAAATCAAAAAGTTTTTAGAGCTTTTCTTTAATATTTTCTGATGAAAACACAATTTTTTTTTAATTTTCGATAAATAATTTGAAATGTTCTGTTAAAAGGGTAATTTTTACAGAAAGGGAGAAATTTTTAAAAATTTTCTATAACAAAAGAATTTTCCATATAAAACAGACATCTTCAATAACTTTCTATAAAAATTAAAAATTTTTGAAAATTTTCTATAAAAGAAGATAAATTTATAATAATATTTTTAATTTAAAAAATTATATTTTTTGAAAATTTTTAAAAAAAACATAAAATATCGATAAATTTCTACAAAAAAAAAAAAAAAAACAAGTAATATATGGAACTTAAAAAAAAAGGATTTATTTTTTTATTTTTCGCAAAAAAAAAAAAAAAGAATAATACCTCTACCATTAAATAAATCTATTAGTTATGGTAATTTTATTCATTTCTTTAAATTCAACCCACTAATTGTAATTGTTAAGTTAAACTAAACCGCTACATTGAAAATGCCACAAAAAAGTTATAAATCGAATTTAAAATTCTATTAAATATAATGAAGAAACAATTACATTTATTTTAACCACAATAATTGACGTCATAAGAAAAAAAATTTCCAAACTAAACTAATTCAAACACGAAAATAAACACAACCTTTTTTTTACACACAATTTAAATAAAAATTTGCCTCCAGTGGAAAAACTGTTGTTAAAACATATTTTTTTTCTTTCTTGTTGAATTTTATTATTTTTTTTTATAATTTTTTTTTTGTAAGAATTCCATTTTGAATATCATTCATATTAATGATTTTTTATGTTAAACTATAGATTTTTGTAGGTGGTTGACACAATTGAAGGAGACTGAGAGAGATATCTGTGAGGTTTATTATTGGTTCGTTGTTATGGGTTCGTTTTTGTAAAGCA